AATTCCTGACAACTTCCAGTGTATATTATATCATCAACATAAATGGATACTATAATCATTTCTGCATCTTTCCTCCAATTGGTATACAAAGTTGCTTCACTGGTGCTTTTCTTAAACCCACAGAGTGTAAGATATGAGTCTATTTCACCATACCAGGCTCTCGGCCTGCTTCAGTCCATACAGTGCTTTATGTAACTTGTAGACCTTATCTTCCTCTCCCTGTACCATGAACCCATCTGGCTGATCGACATACACTTCCTCTTCTAGCACACCATTCAAGAATGCTGATTTTACATCCAATTGAAACAACTTCCATTTGTTCTTTGTTGCCAGTGCAATTAATGTTCTGATTGTATCCAACCTTGCAACCGGTGCAAGGTTTCATTATAATCAATTCCGGGCTTTTGTGCATAGCCTTTTGCAACAAGTCTAGCCTTGTTCTTTTGAACTGATCCATCCAGATTCAACTTAGTTTTGTACACCCATTTCACACCAATCACAGGTTTATCAGATGGTATTTTCACTAATTCCCAAGTTTTATTTTTCTCAATCATGCTCATTTCATCTTCCATGGCTTTCCTCCATGATTCATCATGTGCAGCTTCATGATAAGATTCAGGTTCAACAATACACACATGACATCTTTCATAGATTTCACTCAAATTTCTATATCTCAGAGGAGTATGATCAACCTGAGGTGTAGAAATTGAGTCACTAGCACTTTCAGACTCAATGAATGGAGAATCTGTAATTTGAGTCTGAGAACCTTCAGTAACAACTTGTTCCATGAAACCAGAATCCTCATCAGCTTCTTTCATCTCTGGAGATTCACTTGCAGTAAATGGAATGCACACTTCTTTGATCTTCTGTTTATCCCAATCCTATTTACCATTCTCATCAAAAATAACATCTCTTGAGAGAATTACTTTCTGCGTTTCAGGATTGAGTAATCTATACCCCTTTTCACAAGTGCCATATCCAATAAAAATACCAATGACACTTGTTTCATCCAACTTATGTCTCAGATTTCCTGGAATAAGGGAATACCCTAATGAGCCAAACATTCTCAAGTGTTTAATTCCAGGTTTTCTTCCACTGAATTTCTCAAAAGGTGTCACATTTTCCAAAGCTTTTGTAGGACATCTATTGAGCAAATAAACGGATGTAACCACAGCTTCACCCCAAATACTATAAGGAAGACCTTTCTCGTGAAGCATACACTTTGCCATCTCCACTACAGTTCTGTTTTTTCTCTCTGCAACTCCATTCTGTTGTGGAGAATATGCAACAGTAAGTTGCCTTTCCAAACCCAAAGCTTCACAAAACTGATCAAACTCATTTGAGGTGAATTCTCCTCCTCTATCTGTTCTCAATTTCTTCACAGAAAATCCACTTTGAAGTTCCACCATAGCTTTGAATTTCTTGAATACATGAAAAACATCTGACTTATGTCTCAAAAGATATATCCAGCACATCCGCGAATGATCATCAATGAATGTAACAAAGTACCTGTTTCCACCCATGGTTGGTGTTTACATAGGACCACACACATCTGAGTGTATGAGTTCCAATGGCATTCTTGCTCTCCAAATTGACTCCTTCGGAAAAGATACTCTATGATTCTTACCAAATGCACATCCCTGACATACACCTTCACTGTCATGCATTTCAGGTAATCCAAGAACCATATCATGCTCCTGCAATTGTTGCAGACTCCTATAATTCAGATGGCCAAACCGTTTATGCCACATTGTACTACTCTGATGCACATTGTGTTTCAGTACCAAGTGATCATTTGATTTGAACACAAGTGGAAAGCATCTGTTCCCCTTTTGCTTCACACTAACCACTAAGTTTGTCAGAGTTCTGTCATCAAATATATCCACCTTATAATCACCAAATACTAGAAAGTACCCATGTTCAGTCATTTGCCCAACACTGAGTAGATTCTCTGCAATTCCAGGTACCAACATAACTTCTCTTATGTACCTTTTCCCTTTATCAGTGTCAATGACTAAGGTTCCTTTGCCTTTGACATCAACAAGAACCCCTGTGCCAACTTGTACTTTTGCCTTAATACTTCTATCAATTTCCACAAGTAACTCCTCTCTGGAAGTCATATGGTTACTACACGCATTGTCTATATACCAAGCATCACTCACAGCCTTCACTTCAGTTGATTGCTTAACCATAAACAGATTTCCAGGTTCTCCCATCTTATTTGCAAAGTTCTTTTGTTCTACCACTTTGTTTGCAAAGTTTCCTTGTTGGACATTCTTGTTCAGATTACAAACTCTGGCAATATAACCAAGTTTCCCACACTTGTGACATTTAATCTTCCCTTTTAACCAACATTCTCCATAATGAAGTTTATCACAATATTTGCAAGCACCTCCAGAGTTATTTGCTTCATTCCTAACACCCGGGGTGAACCTGTTAGTCCACTGCTTCCCTTTGAACTTGAGATTCTTCTGAGATTTCAATCCACCAATATTTGTAAACTGATTACCAACTTTACTGTTCTTAGATGAAATATCTAAGCTAGAAAATGCACGTTCAGTGCTATTCTCTTGATGCCTAGTTAATCTCAGTTCATACCCTTTTAGGATAGCAACCACATCTTGTGCATCAATTACATCAATATCTCTAGTATTTTCAATAACAGAAGCAATACTATCATATGATTTAGGTAAACTGATCAACAGCTTTTGTACAATTCTCTGATTACTAAGATCTTCACCATAACTCTTTATCTGATTTATCAAATCAAACAAACTAGCTAGATATGCAGCTAGAGATTCACTTTCACCCATACGAGTATATTCAAAATCACGACGAAGACCTTGTAATTTCACAGATCGTACCTGTTTATCTCCTACGAACTCTTGCTTCAGAATATCCCAAGCTGCCTTCGCAGTTTCTAGAGTTGCAATCCGTGGAAAAATTTGATCCGACACTGCTCCTTGAATGATTCCAAGAGCCCTCGCATCCTTGACCAAATTTTCACGATGCAATTTCATCTCCCCCTCTGCTATCTCACCCTCCGCCTTCGCCGGAGGTAGAAAACCCATCTCAACAATGCTCCACAGCTCGTAAGATCGGAAAATTGTTTTCATTCGAATTTGCCAGAAATCGAAATTCTCTCCGTTGAATATTGGAGCGCGAAGCTCTCCTCCACCAGATCCAGCCATGTTAGACTTAGATCTCACTTCTCTCTCTCACTTACTTTCTCTGCAACGAAAAGTTGCTAGAGCAAACCTCACAAAATCTACGCCCAGAAAAATCAGACCCAACTAGGCTCTGAGGCCATGTTAGTGTTTGAACAAACTTTTAATCTTCCCTGTGAGCTATGACTCACAGGTAATATGAAATCAAGGATGGTTTATATCAATGAAGAAGATGATGCAGTGAGATAGAGATGAAGAATGCAGAGAATGTGACTCTGCATATTGTTACTGTTTCATTCCACCGAGAGTGAGTGTGCAGAAAAATTCACACTCCTCTTAATTGCTATTACAATTAAACTTGGCAGTATTCAAAATACATCCATCCAATCCTAGCCATCCATCTTACATCCTATGAGATGAAGACACATATACATTCACTTGTTAAGACCTATGAGACTTAATAAGAAAGCATACACACAATCCTAGCAATATGAGCTAGAAACCAACTGCCACATCAGACCACAATTTACACACTAACAGGTGAGACTGAGAGAGCGACGGGAGATGGAGAGAGAGAATGACTCAAATATATGTGAGAATGTGTTTCATCTCATGACTCTGATGTTATGTTAATGTGTTTCATCCCGTGATTCTGATCTTATGTTTTTATTTGTACTTAATTATAATGAGTTTTCTTGTTTTATAAGTAATAGTCCTATGAGGATTTGGTCTCCAAATCCTATTAGGATTCCTACTCTAAATTTACACAATCATATTCCTAAAGAATAATAATATTTACAATATATTTAAGCTAAATATCCCAATAATTAAGTCTTATTAACCCCGAAGTGAGTTTCAATAATTAAGCTAAATATGATTACATGTTCCTAATTCGTTTTCCAATGCTCCGACCAGATATTTACGAGTCATATGGTGGGGCTTAGTTTTTATATGAGACATAAATTGAAGTGTAGCTGTATGTGGTTCTTATCTTGAGTTTAATAATGTCGGTGGATTTTGGTTCATCAATTATAGGGTATGAATATCAGTTTTTTGCAATCTTCTCTTACTCCGCTCTTTAATTTTGGAAAAAAAGTTTTGGTTTATCAATGAGCTGAAATTATTACATTTAGTAAAATAACATCCTTGTCCACATTGAAAATATTGCTGCATGTAACAATTAACAAAGACCAAGTTGGCTTCCAAATTGAATTTAAAAGAACAAAAATTATAGCTACGACAAGTGCCAGTTAACACTGAGTCTGAAAAGCTGTGTGATTCAGATGTAAAGTTCAAAGACAATTGATTTCGACAAGGGGGGTTTGAAAGTGATTGAAGAACTGCCATAGAAATTGATAATATGGCACACAATACAAAACTGAAAGAACAAAAGAAATGGCCTGCAACTGGTTGTATGTATGTCAATATAATTCAGCTGCATGCCAATGTGTATTAGACGCTATGACAGCTCAAAGAACACACTTCATTAAGACACTCCACGAACCACCCCCTTTATTCTGCAGTTAAATTGATTTTGGGTAGTCCTATACGTAGATAACATGCATGGATTTTGGAGTTAAAAGACTTTTTTACCCTTACAAAGTTGCGTGTCTGTTATAATCTCAAGAGGGTGAGTTTGGTTTTTCCTTCTCCCCAATTAAATATATTGGTGGTTGGTATCCCCAATTAAGTAATCTGTTTAGCACCTCTAAATTGCCCAACTCATAGCCTATGGGCAAATTCACACTCCAATGTTAAACATTCCACTGTAATAATAATAATAATATAATATATATACATAGGTATATATATATATTTGTTTCAAAGCTCTTCATAAATCCCCCATCCCAGTTCTGATGAGAAAGAAAATGGGATCATTAGTTTCTTTCCTTCTTGTGATTATAGCATTTTCTCTGCAGGCAAATGGGCAGCCCTTGGTTCCTGCAATGTTCATATTTGGGGACTCAGTTGTGGATGCTGGTAACAACAACCACCTCTACACCGTGATCAAAGCCAACTTCCCTCCTTATGGAAGAGACTTTGTCAATCACAAGCCAACTGGGAGGTTCTGCAATGGAAAGCTTGCTTCAGACTTCACTGGTATTTTTATATTCTAATCTGCTCTAATTTACAGAAAGAAAGATTCAAACTTAGGTGCAAGGGAATTGGTACATTGCATTCGCTGACCAACTCACTAACTAGCGTAACTTGCATCTGGAACTATTTATATCTTAGAATCGCCATGCATTTCTCAAGTCTCCTTTTTAGACAATATTTTTTTAGCCCACTAATTGGTTTTTTTTTTTCTTGGTTTGTTTTCTTTGACTGCAGCTGAAAACCTTGGATTTACTTCTTACCCTCCAGCTTATCTTAGCAAAGAAGCCAATGGAACAAACCTCTTGATTGGTGCCAATTTTGGCTCAGCTGGTTCTGGCTATTATGAGTATACAGCAAAATTATATGTAAAAAGAAAGAAACAATTGCAATTTTAACTAGTTAGAAGATCTCTGTAATTTCTCACACATGAACATTGTAGTATGATTTTTTAATTTTTCGTATGTAAATCTTGGTGTTTACATGCAGGATGTAATTTCACTAAATCAGCAGCTGGAGTACTACAAGGAATACCAAAACAAGGTGGTGGGAATTGCAGCACGAAATAAAGCCAATTTTACTTCAATAATATCTGATGCAGTCTACCTTGTTGGTGCTGGGAGCAGTGACTTTCTTCAGAACTACTACATTGATCCTCTTCTTTACAAGTTCTATACGCCCAACCAGTTCTCTGACATTCTCATGCAAGCTTATGCAACATTCATACAGGTAGATCACAATTCTTCTCCATACCTTTTTATTAAAGAACGGGAAGAGGAGATTCGAAATTGGACCTCTCCTAATACTGAAAATTAAGAGAAAAAATCTCTTAACAGATTTCAATTTGGACCCAATTCAAGCCAATAGCAAACTAAAGCCTCGTTTCTTACCCTTCATTGTCTTAGACTGGACTATTTCTAAGGGGAAACAATTGAAACCAAAGGCGGCAGAGATGGAGACAAGGCTACCGTGAGACCCTCTTAGTAGACTAAAATCGCATATAATAGTTTATTAAGAGATCTGACAACTCCACTTAAAATTTCTCACTCCGCCCTTAATTAAAAATATAATTATAACCAAATTGAAATCGAATTCAAACTACAAGAGAAATATTATCGTTTGTCCTTCAATTATCTTATGAAGTATAGTAATTAAAAATGGTGAGAATTACTGCAAACCCTAACCATTAAAAAACTAATGAAAATGGTTTGTTACAGAATCTATATGCACTGGGAGCAAGGAGAATCGGAGTGACCACATTGCCGCCACTTGGATGCCTGCCGGCGGCCATCACCATATTTGGGTCGCACAGCAATGAGTGCGTGGATAAAGTCAACAATGATGCAATCTCATTCAATAACAAGCTCAATGCCACATCTCAGAGTTTGCAAAATGACCTCTCTGGTCTTAAGTTGGTCGTCCTTGATATCTACCAACCGCTCTATGACCTTGTCACAAAGCCTGCCGAGAATGGTACGTGAAGAAGAAGAGCCTTTATTTGGTTTAAAGTTAGTCATGCACCAAAATTAGCTTAAACAAAACTTAAAAGTAATTCGATGGGGCAGAAACGACAAAATTTGACTTTTCTTTCAAAATCGATCTAGGGACGACCTTTGCAGCTTAACACAAAATGTGCTAGCATGAGCGACAAGAATAAATATTAGTACGGCTTTCCTCAGAGTTAGGGACTGCATTTGTAGCATTGAAAGTGAAAAATACTACTAGATGACGACGAACTAGAGTAGTAAGATAAACTAGTTACATTTTAAATTAGAGAACTTTAACGAAAAGCTCCTGGTACTGTTCACTTTAACGAAAAATCATATTTTTACACTAAAAAGTCAATCCTGCTACTATTCACTTTACCCTTTATTTTGTCCTTATCATTAAAACTCAAAGTTTTCAAGCCCCTTTCATTAGTTTTCCTTTTAAATTAACCTCAATTATTTCTAGAAGAAGACCATTATACAGAGAAGAGATCTTCCACCAAGGCTATCGAATCAAGTGATATGGACCTTTGAAATTTCATTCAACGGCCTACCTGTTTTTGATCCCTTAAAAGCTATAATAAGTTTTAGCTGTTGAATAAAAATTTAAAGGTCCAGATCACTTGATCTGGTAGCCTTGATGGAAGAGATCCAGAGAAGATCTCTTCTCCGTTATATAATCTATCACATCAATTAATGTCTAATGAAAATATTTTGGCAGATGTGTTATATTTTAGGGTGGTACTGTTCACACATCTATCTCACATATTTCATGTTAATTTTTATTCTTTGGTCTTCTTTAGTTGATTTTATTCGACTGCCAAAACTTGAGAGGTGTGTGTAAAAAGTAAAATCGGGTGAGGAGATAGCAACACCCATGTATTATTGTATGGCGTTGGTGAGATAGGAGAGAATCCGGATGTAAAACAACTGCCAAAACTATAAGAAATATGATTATTATCATATGACATATGGATTGGGATGATAATTATACCTTTGCATACATCTAACTCATTATTTTTTGCCGGAGAGAAACTCACATGAAACACGTTGCATATTTATTTCTTTCATCACATAACTTGGTAGTATAATGCGACAAATAATTCTTGGTTAGTTTTTCTTGATGGGCCCATGACATACAATATAAATGGATCAATTCGAAATTTTGAACACAACACGATTATAAATTGGGTTGATAGTTCAATGAGACGAACACGACCCATCGACACGAGTTGTCGCCCTTACTAGTGACTGATGTTGACAGGGTTTGCGGAGGCAAGGCGGGCTTGTTGTGGAACAGGGCTGGTAGAAACAGCAATACTGTGCAATGCAGAGTCAGTAGGGACCTGCGCCAATGCGTCTGAGTATGTCTTTTGGGATGGCTTTCATCCTTCTGAGGCTGCAAACCAAATTTTGGCCAATGATTTGCTCAGCAGTGGCATCTCCCTCATCTCCTAATTAAATTGAATTATGCACTTAATCATCGTTTTTCTTGTTTAATTATAAAATTAAAATAAGTGCTGGGCTGGTGTATTTGGTTGCTTGTATTCTTGTTAATTTGATGGCTGGTGTGCTTCTTTTAAATTATCGTGAGAGAAAAAAAATGATCAATTAGATGACAAAGTTCTAAAAACTCCACTCATGTAAGTTTAGTAGAATGAATTATGAATTGTGGTTATTGCGTTGAAATAAAAAATTAATTAAGTTTTTATGTTTAGGTCTAGTGCATTTATCTATATTTTGCTACATCTGGTTAAATAAAGGATCCTTCTAATAATTTAACATTTAAAGACATGTACATGACACATAAGCTAGAAGCCAAAATTATAAAATTAAAGAAAATAATAATAATTCGATCAAAGTTAGTACCCCACATTCCAAAGGTCACATACTAATTGAAGACATAACTACAATACTTATATGTATTTAAAATAATCATCATTTAACGGTTAGATATAATTCATGTAAATATATGTAATTGTATAACATGTAAATTTTGTAGCCAAATTACGAATTTAAAACACCTTATAAAATGAGTTCATGTGCTCAACAGTCGACTTTTGATGAAGCACTAAAGAAACTAACATTAGATTAGATTACCAAAGTTGTTCATAGTAGTATTCTTCAGTAAAATCATATATCACACAAAAAATAGCACACAAATGTATTTTGTAGCCTCTATAATTTATGTGAACAAACAGATTAAAATAGGATGGTACGATCCACACACCTCTTTTTATTTCTTAGACATCATTTTCAATTCATATTTTCAATTTTCGGCCTTCAAATTGAATGAATTAAAGAACATCAAATGATATAAATTAACATGAAGTGTTTAAGGCGTAAAAAAGGTGTGTGGATAGCACTGCCCTTAAAATATTCAGATTTTTTTATGTTATTGTAACACAACCCAATACACCACGTGTCATAATATAATTGGACAAATATTTTATTTTTTATTTTTCAAATGTTCAACCACTTGTTTTATGATACGCCGTGTTCCGATACACTAAAAAAATCTTCAGTTAAAATAGTTCCCATATAGCAATCTCACCGTCTCCATTACTTTGAACGACACCGTTATTGCCTTTATTATCGGAAACTGAAAATGCGACAATTTCACTCTGGCTCTCCATTCTCAAACAATTTGAATTTGCCTCTCATTTTTCCCTAAGACGGTCCAAAACGCACTAGCAGAAGTCAGACGAGGTTGCGTTTAGTAGAGAGAGAGAGAGAGAGAGAGAGAGAGAGAGAGAGAGAGAGAGAGAGGAGAGAGAGATGGACTACAACCTAGCAGCACTGAAGCTGCTGTGCGTCCAACTGAAAGACGCGACCGAAGACACCAAGAACGCCATGGAACTCCACGGCATCGCCTTCCAACGCGCCTGGTTGCAGGTCTCTAATCTTCCCAAATTACCGTTCTCCCTTCCTCCTACTCTCAATTAACACCGACTGATCACTCGCAGGGCATTCTGGTCCATGTCTTCGACGACGGAGAGCGCTTGCTCCTCGACGACGGCACCGGAGTCATCGAGCTCTCCCTCAGACCCGAATTGCGCCATTGTACTTGGAAAATCGGTATCACCCCCGCGCATATTAGCATCCTCGCATCTTCCTTATGCGCATTTTAGCATCTTTTTCTTTTTTTATTCATTTATTTATGCAGGAATGTATGTAATGACTGTTGGACGGTACACGCTCCGTAAGAATGAGCCGCCAATGATTCAGGTAAAATTATTACTCACGTTAACGTAATTTAGCGTAATAATATCGCTTGTAATAATAAAAAAATATTAATCGTATTGTGTGACCCATCACCTAAGGTCTTTTAGTTGACGTCTTGAGAATAAAATTACACTAATTTTGTTACTCACATTGTATGACCTAGACCCATCCAAATTTAAGTAGCGTTACATATATTATATTTGTTACTTAAATTCGGATGTAGGAAACCATATTTTGTTGTGATTTGTCATCTGAACCAGTGATAGAAGAATTTTTCCAGTAATTTAGGTGGCTACTGTATACATGGACAGATTTAGAAACGGTAACACTGAAATTTAAGCTGCGTTTGTGACTGAATATCAGGTACACAAGATGGTTGATCTTTCGGATTCCCATGATCGAGAGGCAATGTGGTACCTCGAAGTTATGGAGGCATACAATCTTTTCTATCGGCGCTTAATGGAAGGGTGAGAGAGAGAGAGAGAGAGAGAGAGAGAGAGAGAGAGAGAGAGATGGAAACCGAACTATGTACAACATTTTCCTTGAAGCAACTCCTACCAGTTGTGCTCGACATTTGAAAATCCCTTGCTTACCTGCATCAAAAGTAAGAACGTTTGAAAACGTATGAAAGCGCACATGTATTATGTCAAGCTTGCTCAAGTTACTAGTACATGGAATTTGTAAGCTTTATTATTGTATCAAACATAATCAGCAGCCATACACCAATGTACTTGCATGATTCTTTTATCTATCGGCTCGCGCAGTTTCAGCATTACAAAGATCATCCAGCATTGATGCAAATTGGGCAGATCGTATATGTTATCCTCTCCTATCTTAGGTACCTCTGTTCAGTTTCAGAAACTTTGACGGTGCAACCATCTGTCCTGACTTTCCTTGCCTCAGCAAAACATTATTCGAGTTGCATTAAGCAGGTTTTCTAATATGCAAATATCCACTTCTGTGTTTGAGATGTAGTTTTGGTTTCTGGAAATCCCGTTCTTACAACTACATCTCAAACAGATTATGTTCGTCCTGGTGATTCTGTCGCTGCCATGACTCTATTCTTCCGTACCCTGAGAAACTGTAGACGGTTCATGCCTGAAAGTAATACAAAGTGATGACGTTCTTCCATAAATACAAAAGGAAAGTAAGCACTAAAGTCAGATACAGATAACAACAGTTTTTACTATCTTCCGGTAGTCTTGCCATCTAAGCACACATGACACACCTGAGTGTCAATTCAAGAAATCATCTTTCACTTATAATGATAAGAAATTATAAGGAATCCCGAAACACTAACAAGTTGACAACAAGGCAACGACAAAGGCTAGGCGCTGCTGAGCCCAAGAAAATAAATGAAGGTTATAATTTTGTTTTGAAATTTAGATATAAAAAGAATGATGCAATACTTAAACGAGAAAAAGACTAATTAGATGTACTGAAAATTGGAAAACTAAAACCTTTTTGACACAAGATGATCTTTGAAGAATCTTAAAAGCATTTAATAACCATGGGTAACAACCAAGAACTGTGGAACAAACTTACTCAGAATGCTTACGACAGCAGTGCAGCAATCTATCAACACTTAAATCATCTGCATGTTCGTCCGTCATGTCATTATCCTTGGCATAATCCTTTGAAGTAGTCCATTGATTTAAAATACTGACGATCCTTCTAAGCTGTAGCAAAAGTGAAGGAAAAATATATTGCAAGACATGGAATTTGGTACGTGAAACAATATAAACATCACCTATAACAAGAACTTAAGGTTCTACTATCGACTTAATTGCATAGTTATTGTAAGTTAACAAATTGGCAGAAGAGGATACAGCTGTAGTTCTAGCTTTTGACTGTAAGTCACCTAATTGAAAGTCAAGAAGATCATCTTCAATCGCATCAGATTTGTTGACTAGAACCAAAACATACTGCTGGAGAACTGATGAGCTCATTTCCTTTTCCTTAACTCGAACCATTAACCTTGCAATGATGTTCCAGAGTGCACTCCTTGCTTCCAAATCGTCCGAAGAAAAGGGAAATAAATCAAGCAGACCCTGTAAGAAAGGCAAATCTGGACGGATACGAAGTGTCACTTCCATGTCGTGCCGTGATATTAAACCAAAAGCACATGATAGTAAATCTTGGAAGGAATAAACAAGTGAAGGAAACATAAACAGTTTACCCTCCGCTATCTCCGATGCTAGAGTAGATTCATCTGAAAGAATGTTCGCAATTAGAATTGCAGCTGTAACACAAGAATTTGACACCTAAAAACAAAAAAATTCGTAAGTAGGAGTCAATCGCCACAAACATTTTGGTCCAATATAACAAATGGCGAATTAGAAGGAAAATAGTATAAAGACTGCAACAACCTAGCTTTTTTTTTGTTGCAGAATGTAATATAGTTTTTGTCCTTTCCTTTTGTTTATTTTTTTGGTTCAACACCATTTGATAACTGCAGTTTGAAATGTCATAGCTGCCTTCACTCCACAAAATAGTAGCCTCGATTGTTACTTATGATCAACTTCACTATTCTTCAGCAGAACTAATATCCATATATCTATTGGGTAATTCAGTTGATGTAAAGTTATTTAGATGGTGTCAGTAGATTCAGTTGTTTCTAAGTCATAAGAATGTATACAATATCATTTCCTTTCTTTTCAAGGTCCTCCTTTTCTCATATTACTATTGAATGGAAGGTTTTTTTTCTTAGAAAAATTACTAAAATCCTTATTTCGTCAAAGATCCAATTGCAAAATTACAAACTGATGTACACGATCCTTAGGTTAGCCTCTAGATTTTTTTGATACAAAGAACAGATTGTTCCTGAAACTTCTAAGAAAAGTAAGAATGTCAATTCTCTGTGGTGAATAGTTGATTGGTGTTAACTTTCAGCAAATTACCCAATTGCCAGACTATCAGCTGGAAGCAGTGAACAAAACAGCAAAACCAACAACTTCATAAACATGGAAATTATAAAGTATACCTACGATTCGTACTCCATAATATCTAAGATAGATAATAGGTACCTCAACTTTATCAGGGAGTTTGACTAGGTCACAAGCTAGCTGAAAAAGTTTCTTGTTTGAACAGATGTGTTGGGAATGACCATCAATAACTGAGAGAGCTTCAATGGAACGGAGGATTACATCAAGAATTGGGTACCTGGAATCGTACAAAAATGAGCATATATCAGAACGAATTTGCAAGTACATTTGTAGGTGACAGACTTACAAATAAGTTTTACATTGCAGAATTTTACACAGTAAAAGAATTGCAGGCTGAAATAACCATGATCAACAATATTATTTCCTAAATAAAGCTAATGTAACAGAATTGTCTCCTTTTCATAATCTATTAAAAGGCATAATCAAAACGAAAACATCAAAATGCTTATGGAATAAATGCAGAACCAATTTGACACATGGTACATGTACAAGGAAACTTCAGCTGCAGATGGATTATCTACAAACCTTTCAGGTTCTCTTTCACTCATTAATTTGCTCATTTCGAAATCCAAGAGAATTATGAGTAGACTTGCTAATCCCAGCTTCATTAAAGGTGGAAGGAGAATATGCACAACTTCGTCTGAGTTTTCAATGGTGGCTAACAAGAGTTCAACATTCTGTTAAAAAAAATTCAGTAAGACTACGAACGCAAACATTCCAACCTGGAAATAGAGGTAATACAGTTTAAAAGTGACTTATTGATATGTTTTACCAGTCTTTACCCTCTGAAGCATCAGTAAAAAGAGAATAATAGGCATAATCCAAGGTGTGGATCCTAAAACTATTGTCAAAGTTTAAATCAAATATAGGTAGGGTTTTCACACCATATGATTATTTCAAGTCAAGTGGTCCTATATCCGGTACCAATTCCTGAGTTCAAACACAGTTCAACTTCATATTCCATTGTAATTCATTGGTGAAGTGTAAAGGTATCCATAAAAAAGCAATAAACACCACATGCATGATAAAAAGTACAATTATATAAACAAGAACATCCAAAGGATTTACTCGGGCAAAAACTTTTCACTTATGAGTCTAAGAAAAAGTGACGAGGTACCAAACCTCATTTGAGCAAAAACTTAAATGGTATCTGCTACCTTTTCTATAAGCTGTAGATTTAAGCTATTTTCTGCAATCCATAGAATGCGGCTCAGATTGTGTTCAGACTGCAATGCCTTGGCCCAAGTAATACGTTCACTACTATGAAGACCCACAGTTAACAGCCTGTGTCAATATAATGATTGTAAGATTAATCTCTGCATGAATCCTTGGTATCTGTAAAATCGCTTTGCACATGTTACGGCAAGAAGCATAAAAAGGTCTGTGAAATCATTTATAAAATCACTTGGTATCGTTGAAGGCATGAAAAACATTTTTAAATTAGCACCACGAAGAAATAAAGATACATGATATAATAACCACAACAATGTCCTATCTGTAAAACTGTAATAAAATAAGAGTGCAACATATAAGAAGACAGACATGTACCACCACTTACCTTGTTTGCTAAATGCAAATGATTAGGAATTATTAAGCTCCATATAATTCATTAGAGATATATGAAATATAGAGTACGTACTGTCCTTATGTACCACACAGAAATTGGTTTATAACAACAGAAGTAGAAACGAATTTCAAGGTCGTATATTTCCTCGCCAAGCCAGGAATATGCAAGAAGCAATTGAGAAAATGACTATTACACAGACAGTATACAGCATAATAGGACAGGAAATAAGGATAAACTTTAATAACATATACAAGTCAACACCAAATATGATAATACCAAATCCAGAAAAATTAAATAGGAGTCATGGATGAAACTTAAAATTACCTGCAGATTTCACATAAACACTGAGCATCATCAGAAAACAATTGATCCACAATTATTCCAATTAATCCATTTGTAGAAATTATTTGTTTCATGGGAACTTCATGACAGGCAAGGTTTCCAATAATTCCAAGGCTAATTTCCTGGAATAAGAAAAGAGAATATAGTCGCATGCTGAGAACCTTCGAAAACTACTAAGTTACCATGTACACTAGTTTTCACCACGAAAGTTGGAGGGAAACAGAGATAGAGGGAGAGGAAAAATTTCGACTTAAAACAAAAATGATGTCATAGCAAAGGACAAAATTGACTAACCATAGCACGCACAGATTGTGAAACCATAAGGTTTGCTAAAAGCACTTCAAGTACAAGGTTTTGCACCTGCACAAATAAGTTTATATGTCTATCTCATGAATACAAAAGAAAATACATAATAAGAAAAGAGTACCAGAAACATAGAAAAAAATCAAAACTACAAATCCAGCACCAATCTTTTATAATTTCTAAAACCTCGAAATTGTGGCCATTGCATATGATATTCTTTTCCAAAAATAGTTCTATTGTTCATGGTGACAAGCAAGTTGAAGCCATATCAAAAATGATAAGCTAGAAATTGCTTTATATTGTTAAATGTTATCACCCATCAAGTCATGTCAATAACGACTGTTTTGCAAAGAAATAAAATAACGTTAGATATTACTGTTTATAAATTTGCAATGCTTGTCTTTTAAATTTTTAATCAATGATTATTGGGGATAACATGATCACAAATGAGAATATAACATATCCAAACAAAATCAAAATGAGCAAAAAATCATAAAGAGATGAAGAAAATCCCAAGCACCATGAGTTCTGCATGAGTTTTACTTGCAGCAAGATCCCATAAAATGCAACCATACTCTTCCCAAGCCTCTATTCCCACTGGGACACCATATAAATCAACGTTTTCTCCTTCCTCCGGAGCATTTTTATGACAATCGTCAATAATGTCCATGCTTTCAGATACATCTTTTGATGAGTGCAGTGATATGACTCCAGGTGGAGTGGGCTCGCTCTTTTCCATGGAATCAGCATTTAATCCTTGCACAAGGGCCTCAAAACCCGACGAATTGTGTTTATGGTTTGCATTAGCTGGTAGAAGTCTCCGTATCAGAGAGATCACATAACTAGGATCTACTGTTGTTGAGATGTCAAACAGCTGCAATGCGTGCATGGAAAAACAGTTTGAGCATCAATTAATACGAACAAAATCTTGCTCTTATACATGTCTTTACAATTTATCCATGTAGGCAGCGTGTGCTTTTCAGTTGTCAATCGTCACCAACATAAATTTTCTACTTAGTCAAGATGCAACGAAATACACAATTGTACTAGATAAGCTGAAAAAGTCTCTTTGCCACGGCCAAAAACTTCGATACCAAAACCCAATTCACTGAGTGAGGGAAGGTACCATCATTGATCATTGAAACAAAAAACCAAAAGGATTATTAAAATGGGACAGAATTTGTGTAGGCATAGTTTCTTTTGACAAAAATGTGTTTCCAAATTGGCCCTCCATTACTACTTAGTAGAACAAATTAGTTTTCGTATCGAAACCAACATAAATCTAAGCAGCATACAGGTTTCAACAGTGAATAAACCGAAAAGCAGATTAATATCCACATCACAAATTCCCCCACTTTTTCTTCCTAATCAAATAAAACGCAACTCGAAGAACAATAATCAAAACCCAGAACCCAAAAACTCCAAAACCCACAGATGCCCATCGAATTTGTACGGAACCATTGAAATTCAAAGAGAGAGAGATTAAACGGTGATTTTACCTCATCAGGGGGAGCAGAAGTGGTGTGCGGTTGCGTTGTGGTCTTGTAACTGTGGTTCTTGTTCTTCTTGGTCCTGTAGAGGTATTGAATTGGAGTCCAGCGCCATTACCGCCAGCTTCAGACGAGCCTTTCTGTTTGTCTGGTTAGGTTTCCCTCTGTTTTCAAATTTTTTGGGGAAGAAGAAAACCCCATTCCACTGGTTTCAAATTAGAGTGATATTTATTTATTTCGGTTAAGTATTCTCCTAATACACTCCACATTTATTTTTTTAATTAAAACATATCTTAATACATCACATTTACTTTCTTATAAAGGAAAACTAATAAAAAGGGCTTGAAAACTTTGAGTTTTAATTATAAGGACAAAATAAAAGGTAAAGTGAATAGTGCCAGGATTGACTTTTTAGCGAAAAATGTGGTTTTTTGTTAAAGTAAACAGTACCGGATGCTTTTCGTTAAAGTTTTTTTCTTATAATACTCTCACACCCCCATAATCTCAATATATACCTCATATTTTCTATCAGCAGTTTTTTTTTTCTTTTTTTTTACTGCTTTTATAATATGCAATCTTGCAGAAAATTAATCATGCTAAGGTATTGATTCTGGCTGTTTCTTTTCAATTTTTTACAGAATCTTATGAAATTAAAAGTGTTCAATATGCGTTCCTCCAAAAAACCTAATTAAAGTTTCAAATCTTTCTCGGAGTAAAAAACTTGGGCATATAAATCTTTTTTACTGTAAAAGTTTGGTTGAAGTTTCTTCATATTTTCAATATCTTCACAAGCTTACTTTTCTTAAATTTGGAGGGTGCACGAGTCTCAAGTATCTTTTTAATATGCCAGACAATATTGAATTTTTAAGTTTACGTGGCAGTGGTATAAAAGAGTTGCCTCCATCAGTTTGGTCTCAACAAAAAATTTCTTCTTTGGATATCGGAGATTGCAAAGACCTTAAGAAACTTCCAAACAAAAGTTGTAAGTTGAAGGTCTCCGGTTATTTTAGTCTTGACTATTGCTCACCTCTAGACGAGTTTTCTGAGCTTTTCAGGAATATAAGTGTATTAGATTTGACTTGGACATCAATAGATGTATTGCCCATAACATCAATGGAGCGTCTCATTAGTCTCACTACAATTAAACTGGATTATTGCAAAAGAATCAATAGTATGATATCACAACCAATATTTTGGTGACTGAAATCGCTAAAACAATGAAAATACAAAGTCTTACCTCATGTAAAGTTTTCGAAACGTTGATTTCATATTTCATTCATCAAGAATAATTTTTCCAATTAACGTGTTTGTAGTTTCATTAATTCTACAATGGAAGATGAGAGTGGTTTTGTGAGTTGAAGAAGATAAATAAACTTGGGATATACATGTGAAAAGTAATTTGGATTTTTATTTTTTTTTAAAACCTTATAAGGTCGAAATTGTTATTATATATTAGATATGTAAGTCATTTAATATTAAATTTTAATGAGGGGTGTATTCAACATATTGTGGGTGCTAATAAAAAAACCTTTTTTTTTCTTTTTTGTTTATTTATTTTTTCGGTTAAATATTCCGCAAATTAAGGGGTATATTCAATTGAGAATTTGAGAGATTTTAATAGATTTATAAATCTATGGATTTTTATGGAGTTTAATTGATTTGTAGATATTTCATATAAAATTTTGATACAATTCTCTCGAAATCTTATGTGGAAAGGTAAGATTTGTGGATTCTTAAAATACACTACGAAATCTCTTTAATTCCCTATAATTCCTCAACTTTCTCAAATATTTTTAAAATCAATTTCTAATTGAATACACCTAAAATGTTATAAACTTCTTTAAAATCCTAATTGAATATACTTGTATTTCTAAGGATTTTAATAAACTATCTTAAAATTCTAATTAAATACACCTTGAATTTCAAAGAATCACTTGAAATCCTGATTGAATACCCCTAGATTCATTAAAAGAATTAAAATGCCTCAAAATTCTAATTGAATGCACCAAAAAGAGAATGAAGTAAAGCTAAATCAAATGGTTTTTTTATTCAATTTTTATGAGTTTTTTTATGCTACAATAAAATTTGATATTAAATTTTTCGATATTCGAACTCAATACTTCTTACTTAACAAGTAAATAAGAATATAATTAGTACTAAATAATTTTTCATGAGTTAATTTAATTTTTTATTACTCGTAATCTTTTATGAAAATTATGATTTAATTGCATTATTGTTGCTATCTATTGAAGTTAATTTAGTTAAGGGAATGATGAGTTGGGAGCCACACAACCTAAACATGAACAACCAATTATGGTATGTGATCAGGTAGTGAGAGTTGGGATTCTTCTAACAATGAATCTTTCAAAATACGGTTATGTCAAATTGGTATTTTCTCTTTATAATGAAAACCATAAAGGGAAATTTTATTTAAACCCATTCAACTTTTTTTTACACCCAACTTAAAATTTTAAAAGTTAATTGTCTATTTTACCATATTGCATAATTACTATTAAGTACAAAATGAAATTAATAATAAAACTCAAATTTATCAATAAACCCAAACACTATAATTAAACCCTACGATCATACTTTGTTTATCCTACGTTCATTCTGACTAAAACCCTAATAGCTCTCATAGAGAAAAATAAGTTTTTCTATTGATGGATGATGATTTTGAAGTTTTGAATCCTCCAACCAAGGTATGACTCAATTTATAAATTTTTTGTTCGTTTGATTTCAATTCTTTAGAGTTTAGAAGATGAGATTGTAGGAACGCCAGGCTACATGGCTCCGGAGACATTTCTTACTGGAAGGGCTAATGTTGAGACGGATGTTTATGCATTTGGTGTTCTTATGCTAGAAGTTGTCTGTGGACGAAGGCCTGGTAATCAAAACGAATAGAACAATTACAACAACATAGTGTATTGGCTGTGGGATCTTTATAGCAAATGAAGGATCTTTGAAGCTGTTTACTCTAGAATGGATGGAGACATTGACGAGGATGATATGGCATGCGTGCTGATGTTGGGGTTGTCTATGAATGATGGGTTCACTAGCCTTTTCCCAGTTATGATCTTCAAAAGGACAACCCCATAACTATACACATCGCTTTTCGCAGTGATTTTTAGCATGCAGGCATATTTTGCAAGTAACAATTGAATTATCAGCTTTTGAGTTGTGGAAAACCATAAAGAAATTAGGTCTAAACACATCAAATTTAGCTTGTATTGGTTGTGGGATCTTTATAGCAGAGGAATGATCCTTGAAGCTATTGACTCTAGAATGGATGGAGACATTGACGAGGATGATATGGCATGCGTGCTGATGTTGGGGTTGTCTGTGAATGATGGGTTCATTGGCCTTTTTCCAGTTATGATCTCCAAAAGAACAACCCTATAACTATACACATCGCTTTTCGTAGTGATTTTTAGCATGCAGACATATTCTATATGGTATATAATGTAGTCCCCTTGTCTTCGGTCAATAGAGTCTGTTGGCTAGAGACTTCAAATTGAATTCATGTTTGGGCCGAAATGGTGGTTGTTCAGAGGTGGTATTTGTATACCCTGCACTGAAGCTTTGTAGGTGAAGCTTTACAAGTGAAGCTTTGAAGCTGGAGCTTTTGTAAATGAAGCTTTTGAAGCTGGAGCTCTGTAAATGAAGCTTTTGAAGCTGGAGCTCTGTAACGAAGCTTTTGAAGCTAGAGCTTTTGTGAATGAAGCTTTTGAAGCTGGAGCTCTGTAAATGAAGCTTTTGAAGCTAGAGCTTTTGTGAATGAAGCTTTTGAAGCTAGAGCTTTGTAAATGAAGCTTTTGAAGCTGATTGACATGAGTGATGCTTATGAATGTTTATGTTGATTGACATGAGTGATGCTCATGGATGTTGACATGAGTGATGCTCATGAATGTTGACATGAGTGATGCTCATGAATGTTTATGTATGATTGATATGAGTAATGCTCATGAATGTTTATGTATGATTGACATGAGTAATGCTCATGTATAATTTGGGAGTACTGGACGTACTTTTGATCACTTGGTTGGTGGTAATAGCGGCAGGTTGCCGAATAATTTTGGAGTACTGGGCGTACTTTTGATCATTTGGTTGGCGGTAATAATGGCAGGTTACCGAATAATTTTGGAGTACTGGGCGTACTTTTGATCACCTGGTTGGTGGTAATAGCGGCAGGTTGCCGAATAATTGTGGAGTACTGGGCGTACTTTTGATCACCTGGTTGGTGGTAATAGCGGCAGGTTGCAGAATAATTGTGGAGTACTGGGCGTACTTTTGATCACCTGGTTGGTGATAATAGAGGGCTTGGCTCTTTTGGGCATATAGGTCTCCGCCCCTCCACATGACATTGCAGCCCATTATTTTGGGCTTGTCGTTTTTTTATTTTTTATTTTTTATTATTACCCTCTGATGGGGTTTATACAGATGTTTCCCAAAGATAAGAAAAATAAATTACATCATTCCCTTTTCTACATGCCATCACCACCACAATTATGTCTTTTTCTTTTTCTATTCTTTTCCTTCTCCTTTTTCTTTTTCTTTAACATCGTGGTGTCGTTTGTGAAAAGTTGGAACATGCATAATGAAAGTTGGGGGGCATCTTCTGCGCTGTCATCGTGCCAACTTGATTCCCTTAATCAACTTGGAGCGTGGGCTGCTGTGCATTAGTGGGTAGCCATGCTTTCTGCTGTTTTTTTCTTTTTACTTTCGTTTTTGTTTCTATTTCTTGCATCTTCTTTTCTATTTTTGCTTTTGCTTTACTTTCTAAAAACTCTTCTGCTCTCGTCCACAGCTCATCATCGCTTGTCCTTCGAGAAGTAAAATGTGCGTAGCGACACCACATTGTCGTGCTTAATCTTCCCAGAACCTCCATTGTCATCTCGAACTCTCTTTTGTAACCACGACGTCCTTCAGCCGCTTCACCACCACCGTCGTCTCTTCCTCCAGCACCATCTTGTACGACGTTCCCACGTTTTCCTTCCCCAAAACCTCAGCCGACGCTCTCAACAAGTCCTTCAAATCGAAGCTGTAAACTCTGCCGTTGAAGAACACAAGTTTGTTTTTCTCCGCCTCGGTAGACCCACCCGTGATGTCGTCTTTCGAGGATGATGTTCTAGCCTCCGCCTCTACCGACCGTGTGGCCACAGATGGCTTTGGTGCATTCGCTAGCTAATGTTGGCACCGTTTCTGAAGGCAGAGGAAGAGT